GACATGACATGACAATATACATATATTTAGATTTAGATATAAGATTTAGATTAGATATAAATATAATATTTGTATATAGATATGAGGCAGAAATAGATTTAATACATATATTTAGATGTGATATTTAGACATAGATTTAACATATATATATATTTAACACTTACCATTAAATATGAGAAAAATGAACTAAATGTGAAGAAAGTGCACTGATTTTTTTCTTTGTTTCTCATTTACACTTGGCACCCCATATGCTTGCTGTTTATAGACGTACCTCATGTGAGCTACGTGTCACGTACACAACTTTGTTTACATTAAATCTCGACCTGCACAGAGCAGGAGGGGACACGTCCACTTTGTTTACTGCCACTGGCAGTCATCCAGGAATTCACAGAACCTTAGTTACAGTGTAACTTCCGTTATAAGAGGTGTAGGAATGCTATAGTGTTGTTGTTGTTGTTGTTGTTGTTGTTGTTGTTGTAAGGAAGTCTGAGGGCCATATACGGCTCCTGGAGTTGCTGGTTGTGGACCTTAAACACTCAAACCTCTCGTGGACAAATCAGGAGATACAAAAACACACAGCAAACCCTGAGAACATGTAAATAACTACATAAACAAAACAAATAAAAAAACAAAACAAAAACCAAACACGTCTCTCACTTTTCAATCATTGTTTACAGAAACTTCTCTTCATCCTTTTTTTCAGCTAATAGAATTAAGTTTTTATAAACAAATAAATCTTTTCTGTAGATCACTTAACAGTTTTGAGCCGAACTTTATTTCATTATAATTAAAAGTTATTTTAAAATATCAAAATTTTCTGAATCTCAAGGATTGTTTGTTATATTGTTTGTAAGGAAACAGCGCCTCCTGGTGGCGCTCAGTAAACCGACACCAACATCCGGGTCACTGGGTCAGCTCACCAAAACACGGAAGTGTTGAACATGAATGTTTTCGCGGACTGACGAGGAAGAAAAAAGCACAGTTTACAAGAGAAACAACGTATTTTATGAAGTTATTAACAAGTTTACTTTTTAAGCGTCCGGAAAAACCGAGTTCCTGTTTTCTGTGAGTAACGCGACCGAACCGAACCGGATCGGTTCGTTTTTTTTTTGACGGGACATTCTTTTCTGACAACAAATGAATTTAAGTAATAATGACAGCTTTTTATTTTACTGGTTTTAATTTTAAACTATTTCCTGGGTTTCTCTTAGATTCATTAAAAATGTGTTAATCTTACAGACATGTTTAAAGTATAGAAATAGATTGGAATAATATTATTAAACAAGTAAAATAAGCCTCATCGTTTTATTTGTTTATTAAGATTAAAAGTAATAATAATTATTAATAGAGAAAAATGTTTTGCTGTATGCAAACATTTATTCTGACAGATATATTTATTGTTCAAATCATTTGTTAAATCCAGTCTGAGCAGCTGAAGCTTCCTGGTGATGAATCTGTTTTCAGACACTTTTAGCAGAAATAAATGAAAGTGAAGAAAAACAAAGTAATAAATCTTTGGTTTTAAGAGTTTTATTTGTTTGTGCCTGTGGTTGAATGGAGCAGCTGCAGAACAGCAGCAGGTGTTTGGTTGTTTAATGATCACATTTACTGGATGGAGTTGTTTCTTCTCCAGCTGCAGAGCTGCAGGATGATGATGACGACCATGATGACGAAGGTGTTTCGACATCCGGCTCGTCACGGTTACGCCGTGGAGGTGTCGCCCTTCATGCCCAGCAGAGCGGCCTGCGCTGCGTCCCAGCACTACGGGATCACGGGTCAGTGTGGGTCCACCTGAAAGAGTAACTTACCCCAAAATTAACTTTTTTTTAGCCGATAAACTGTCTAGAATGTGTCTAAAATGTTATATAGTACTGTTTCTGTGCTAATTTTGATGTTTTTGTGTGTATTTGTTCAAATC